GGGCAGGGGCTGGGGTGCAGGAGCGAGCCTGCCTGCTTCCCTGCTCTCTCCTGGCTGCAGGGCTCTGCTTTGAGTCTGGGTGGTGTGTTCCCAGTCCATCGTAGTCCCCCATCCTCAGTGCCTGCTGTGGCAAGCAATGGCCAGAAGCTTGGTCTGCAGCATAGGTGGCTCCTGGAGCCTAAGCCTGTGGGGGTCCAGCTGCAGTGAATGCTGCTTTTATCCCCAGTGAGTTCTCTAAAGGGCTGCAGCAGTGGGGAGGGAAAAAGGAGGCTTGACTCAGAGCTGGGACATAATAATTAACGTGGCTTGAGGGCTGGTACCTGAGTGCCCGTCACACTCCATGTCGGCTGGCAGTGTGACAGGGGCAGCCTGGAGGTGTCCCCAGGGCTGTGGGAGGCTGGGAGGGGGCAGGAGCCAGCTCCTTGTGGGTGCAGAGGAGCTGGAAGGCCGCTGGGAGTCCTTACCTGCCTCTCCCTGGTTCTTTTGTAGAAGGACAAGAGGACACCATCCTGTCATACGAGCCAGTGACGCGGCATGAAAGTAAGTCCTAGTGCTGAGCTGCACAGTCTGCTCCAGAGTGGGCACCCGTGTCCCTGGCACAGCCAGGGTGGCTGGTGCAACCTCCCCTGCCATACCAGCATGATGCCTGTGAACACAAGGGGAGTTTCTTGTCTTGTTGTGTGCAGCAGGGGTGGCAGGTGTGCTTGCTGTTTCCTGGAGCTTTCCCTGACCTTGATCAGACCGTTTTAATCAACAGAAGACTTGTGACCTGGTCTGCAAGACAAAGGGAGAGATACTGGGCTAAAATTCAGCTGGGCTGTAGTTCCCAGCTGAAGGTGGGATTATACCTCCCTGCCTTGGGCCAGGTCCCTGCTGCAGAGCAGCCTCTCCCCATTGACGCTCAATCTCTACAGACCCTGACTAGTCCCAGCCTCAGTGGTCTTTCCTTGCCAAAGCTGTATCAGACCTTCAGGCTTCCCTCACTCCCCCAGCTCCGTGGCATCTTTGCCTGGCTCCAGCCCTGGGTGAGGGAGCAGCTTTGCTGATGTGACCCCAAAGACCCACAGCACCTTCCCCAGGGCTGTGCCGATGGGAGGGAGGTGTTGACTGTGAGATGCATGGAGGAGACACCTTTGGGTGCCCATAAGAGCAGGAGCCCCGCTGCCAGCAGGGAGAGTGCAGGTTGTTGCCACAGGTGGCAGTGGGGTCAGCTGCCTGTGGTGCAGACGGGGCCTCAGGCTGTGGCTCTTGTTCTCAGTTCACTACGCGAGGCCGGTGATCATCCTGGGGCCGACCAAGGACCGGATTAACGACGATCTCATCTCTGAATTCCCACACAAGTTTGGTTCCTGTGTGCCACGTAAGTCCCAGCTGGCACTTGGTGCCCTTCCTTCGGGGAGGGGAGAGCAGTGGCTCTGCTCCTTGCAGGGTCTAGCCTGCAGCGTGGGGGGGTGGCAGCACAGGGCAGGGGGTTTGTCCCTCCCAGGAGGTTTGCTGTGCGTCACCCCGGGTTTGCTCACGGTGCCTGCTCTCCTCCAGACACCACCAGGCCTCGGCGTGACAACGAGGTGGATGGACAGGACTATCACTTTGTCGTATCCCGTGAACAGATGGAGAAAGACATCCAGGACAACAAGTTCATAGAGGCTGGGCAGTTCAATGACAATCTCTATGGGACCAGCATTCAGTCAGTGCGGGCAGTAGCAGAGAGGGTGAGTGTCTGGTGGGATTCCTGGGACCAAGGACACATCCAGCCTGAACACGGATGCATTCAGCAGTTCCCCTCCTGTCCCCATGTTCTTAACAAAGGGCTGTAACCACATTAAGCAAGTGTGGCACAAGCCCCTCCTCCCTCCAGTCTTGCCAAGCCATGTGGTTGTTTTTCTCAGCCACATTACTCCACCTCAGTGTCATACTTGTCATCCAAACACCACTTAAAAGCCTGGCACTGGTGGCACCAACCTCATGCTTGGGAGCTCAGAGGGCAGAGATGCCCAGCTGCCCTTCTCAAAGCAGCAGCATTTCCTCCACAGGAGTACTGGAGTGTACTGATGGCTTGTAAATTGTTTCACATGTTCAGAGGAAGATCAGTCCCTGCTGTCCTGCCCTAAGCAGGTGGGAACAACTCCACTGGGAGTTGGCTTGTGGCTCAGGACTGGTGTTTCATCTCTGTGGCCGCTCTTTTGTAAGCACATCTGTATGAGCAAGCTGTTTTCTGCACGAAGTAGACTGTGTGGGTGGGTCTGATCCAAATCATCTCCTTTCCAGGGGAAACACTGCATCCTGGATGTGTCTGGCAATGCTATCAAGAGGTTGCAACAAGCACAACTTTATCCCATTGCCATTTTCATCAAACCAAAATCCATTGAAGCTCTCATGTAAGTGAAACACCATGTTCTGTGCCTCTCCAGGGCAGGCAGCTTTGGTCTGGCAGGGTTTGTGTGTTTGCTGCCTTTGCTTTTTAGAAAGCAGAAGAGGTTGCTGCTGGTGCTGAACTTGTCCCTTAAGAGGAGCTGGTCCCACCCTCTGTGGTGTGCCTCCACAGCTAATGCTATGGTGCATCAAGGTTCCTCTGGCTTAAAGCCTTTCACCCCAGAGGAGATTTCCATGGAAAATCTAAAAATGCTCCCATATGTGCCTGCTGTAACCTGCTTACCTGGGCTCTGAGTGCAACCAGGAGAGCTACAGACAACCTGTAGTGGTGGGTCACAGCTGGATGGGTCATGATGGCTGAGCCAGGACAGCCCTGGGGAGCAGGATGTTTCTTGTGTGCCTTCTGCTTGTGATGCTGCTCTTGGCCTAGGGAAGTGCAGGCTGGACAGGATGTAAGAGTCAAGCTCACAGCTCTTCTGAGCAGCAGCAGAGAATATTATTTGTGAGGAGATTTGGTAGCTAGAGATGGGCTGGGATTGGAAGAGACTGGGAAAAACTTAAGCCAGAAGGGGTCAAATGGCTTATTTGGGTGTTGTATGAAAAAGAGGGAACCTAGGCAAGGAGGGTGATGACAGGCTCTGGGAAAGCAGGGGGTCTTTTGCAGTGGTCTTGCAAATTTGGAGGATTGTCTGGATTTGAGTCCCCTTCTGTGCTGTGGTGAAACAAGGGTTTGGTGGCAGTGATGGTTGGAAGCTGAGATGAAGTGCCAAGGCAGCAAAGAGCATGTGGGAAAGGGTCCTTCCCTTCCTGGTGTGCAGAGGCTTCCCAGGCACCCCTGCTCTGTGTAGTATTTTTCCTTCTGTTCATTAGTAAGAGAAAGAGCAAAGTTTCTCTTTTTTTTTGTGCATGTTCATCAGGGAGATGAACCGGAGACAGACGTATGAACAGGCCAACAAGGTCTTTGACAAAGCCATGAAACTTGAGCAAGAGTTTGGAGAGTATTTTACAGGTGAGTGTCCTGAGCGGGTTTCTATCTGATGGATTTTTCCAGCTGGCAGCTGTGAGCTCAGCCAGCACTGCAGGGTCGTGGGAAAATGTCCAGTTTCATCAAAGCAAAAAAGAAAAAAAAATCCATGGCACTTTGCCAGGAGGGCTCTGCAAAGGGACTGCTCCAAGATCCAGTGGATAAGAGTAAACCAGCTCTAGAGAAAGAGACAAGTTGTCAGGCAGGATTTTCTGTGTTTGTGAAAGCTTGTAGCCAACTTTAATAGTATTTAAAAAAAAAAAAATCCCAGAAATCCCAGGCAGGGGAAGCACAGCAGAGAGTCAGGGTGCTATGAGGCTACAGGAAATAAGAACTCACTTCATGGAGGGAAGGAGAGCATTTTCAAAGCAAGAATAATGATTTTAAGGGAGAAAGATCAGAAATTAGTGACGTAAATGGTGAAGACTGAGATTATTACAAAACATCTCCCAAAAAAAGATTGGAATTCTGGCTGGCTTCCTGAGTAGTCTTTGGTGAAGAACCACTCAGGGGCTGCCTGGCATTTTGTGCCTGCAAAGATGAGCTGCTCATGACACAGGCATCCTTGTGCATTAAGGAACTAATATGTTTGTAATGTGATTAATTTTGGAGAATCATGGGCAGCCAAAGAGGCAGAGAAACTGGTCTTTTCTCCAGTGCAGTAACTGTTGCTTCTAAAGCTGAGCAGTGATAATTCTGCCAACCCTGCACTACCCACCTAACTGCTACCGGGAAGAATCCCAAGCAGAGCGTTTTCCAAAAAGGAATTTCTGAGCGAATGTACAGGTACAAACAGGGTAAAAGCCTTGCCCAGGCCTCCTGTCCTGGGCAGCAGGTCAGAGCTGCCAGTTGCTCTTCCAAGAAGAGCCCAAAGGAAGCACATTCCATGGTTATGCCCACCCCTGGGCCAGCCATCGTCTGCTTGGATGGCGAGTTTGAAGTTGACCTGGGGAAGGAACAGTCTTGGCTGAAACCTGCTGTGGAAGGAGATGGTTGCTGTAGCAAGTTCTGTGCCAGGGTACTGAGGGCACAGAGCTCCTGGAGAGCGATCCGTGTGCATCTTCCTCTTTGCATGTGGGAAGCAGAGTCAAGTGCTTCATGTTCTGCCTGTACTGAGCAGCGAGACTGTCCATGGTCTTTGGGTGGGAGTTGCTGCTGCACAGCAGCCATGAGCTGGGCTTTTCCAGCCTGACCGTGCTGCACTTCCCACCCTGCAGCAGAGGAAGCAGCCAACACCAGGAGCCCTCGGAAACTGACCAGAGGGGATGAAGAAATCCTGCACCTCAAGGTCTGTGCTGGTTGCACAGTGCCTGATCCTGCTGAGGTCCTCTCAGTCAGACGCTGCAGTGCCAGGCCAGCCTGAAGCCTTGGCTGCTGGCATGACACAGTTTGCAAAGCTGATTAGCAGCTCGTTGTGGAGAACCTGGCACTCCACATGCATGAGGAGCTCTCCCAGCAAGGGATCAGCTCCCTAATCCCCTTGGACACGCTGGGTTAACCCTCTTGTGTCATCGTGTGCCTGTTACAGCCCCTCTGACACAGGCTGTGTCAGTCACTGGCTGTTGGCTGCACCACACCAGCCCCTTCGGTGCAGCATGAAGGCCTTTCTCCTAGTTCCTGTCAGGGAAGGTGCAGCAGTGCCTGATGCTCAAGGTCTTGCTTGTTTTCTCCTCTTCCAGCAATCGTACAAGGAGACTCTCTTGAAGAGATTTACAGCAAAATCAAACAGGTCATTGAGGACCAGTCCGGGCACTACATCTGGATCCCATCTCCAGAGAAACTCTGAAGATGCCCCCCACCTGCTTCCCTGTGAGCAGAAGATCTCTGAAGTCCCACCCAAGCCCTCTGCCCCAAGATGGGGGGGGATATGAAAACAATTCCTGCCCCCTTTTTTTAGATCGTCGCAAAATTGAGTTTTCTAGTCCTGTTTCTTTTGTTGGGATGAACTCATCTCGTTCATCACGTGACTGTTCCCACTGATCCTGCATGGACCTTTCCACTGCTCCATTAGAGACAGATGAGAACCCATTCAAGGTCGTTTTTTATTATTATTATTATTAACTAAACCAAGAATCAAGATGGGAGGAGGCAGCTAAGGACTAACGTAAGAAACGAGTGAAACAACAAACTCTGAGCACAGGAGCTTGGATCAGAGCTCCAGGGGCATTTTTCCAAGTGTGACTGTCTTGCAACTCTGAACAGTGCAACAGAAAGGCAGCAGAAAGCATTTTATTTATCTGTATATGTAATTTATATATAATATATAGAGAGATATTATATATATATTATATATATATATGTATGTGGACTAGGAAACCTGAGGGACCTCTCTTAAAAGGTATTGTATTATTGCAAGGATCTTTCAGTTTCTCTGTCCTGACCACTGGGGGTAAGGGAGTCCACTTGGGCAGGAAGAAAGCGAAATGGTACCAGGTGCTTTGGGGCAGCTCCCTCCAGCACCCCAGGTCTGGGGCAGAGCAGAGACTGGTTTGCTGCCTGTGCAGGAGGGACCTGAGGTCCAGAGTTAACACAGCAAGGAGCAGCAGCTGAGCTGAGGGTGGCTGGGAGACAAGAGACTGAGCAGGAGGCTGCAGAGCAAGAGAATGGATGATACTACGTACTAAATTGCACATTGTTTTACACATCACCTTATGTGTTTGCATGAGAGGTTTCCTTTTGGTTCTATTTTTTTAAGCTGATTTTAAACCAAAACCACATTGTGTTGCTGTGTTGGCTTTTTTCTTTGGTTGTTTTTTTTTTTTCCGTTACTCCATTTTTCTCTTGTTGTTAATGAACTGAATGGGTATAAAATCCAGTTTTTTAACTTATTTTTTAAGCTGACTCTATTGTAAATAGAATCTAGGTCTGTGGTGTTTAGTTAGCAAATACTCTACTGGCCACAAGCAACAACCCTGCCTGCTGTCCTGTGTTGTTGTGGGAAATCTGGGACATTGGGTTGGCCCTGTACCTGTGGGTGCAGGTGAAGTGACCCAGCGTGGCTTGCAGCAGTGTGCTGGTGTTCCCTGCTGCATTAGCCACTGGCAGGAAAAGCCCCCAGCTGTGCCTTGGATGGACACTCACACTTTTCCAAATCAGTAACAGAAATGAACAACTTCCTCTCTTCCCTGCTTCGTGCCAAATTCCCAGCTCTGCTGCGTGCAGGTGGTGGTGGTCCCTTCCAGCACAGCAGGGACTTCACCTGGTGCTCTGGGAGTGGGGCTTGGCAGGTGAAGGTGTGGCTGCTGGCCTGGTTCTGTCTTTGGCAGGTGTCCTTTTGAACTTGGGCTCTGCTCCCTCTCTCGAGGTCACCTCAAACAGAACTGGGTGTCCTGTGCTGGCAGGTCTGTGGGGCAGGGGCTGCAGATCTGCCCCCATCCTCTGTGCACTGGAATCTTTCAAGTGAGGCAACCACTGGTGCTGAGACAGGTGGCCCCAGCTGAGAAATGTCGAGGACACTTCAGCTTCTGTGCTTGAATGGGGCTCCATCCTGGGAGCAGAGCCTTGTGTGGAGCTGCTGGGGGGACTCGAACAGCCTTTGAGCAGGAGCTGTGCTGCTGGGTACTCAGTACAGGCAGAAGAGCACTCCCACCTTCAGAACAGCTGGCAAATGCTGTTCCTCAGGCACAGTGCCAAGCACCAGCACAAAGGAGCTCATACGAGCACAGAGCAGGTAAGTCGTGGCCCGTTTTTCCCCTCTCCCCATTTTATAGGGATAAGTGGCTGTGCAGGGTACCAGTCCTCTTCCCTGAAAGTTAACAGGTACCACAGTGTGTCAGGCATGATGTGGTGTCCAAAGGTCACGGGTTTCAGTGTGAGATGCCCCAAGGCTGTACATGGGCTGTCTGGGAAGCAGCTGTCCTCACCTATCCTGCATCACAAGGAGCCCTGCAGGGACTGAGCAGCTTCCCAGGACAGAGAGCAGTACTGCAGAGGAGGTGACTGTGAGTGCGGTGGGGAGCAGGAAGGACTCTGCTGTCAGGGGGACCGACCCTAAAGGAGCAAACTTTGGGAATGGATTCCACTTGGGCATCCAGCCCCTGCCCTGCTGGTTCTGCTCCAGCTGCTATAAACGTCAGTCCCTGAAGAAGTGGAGTAAGTGAAACAGAAGTCTTTAAGATGCTTGTCACACTGTTCCTGTCTTTTTTCTTTTATATTCTTTTCTTTTTCTTTCCCCCTAATAGCCTGTCTCCCTCTCACCAAGTCACATGGAGAAAAAGCTGATGTACTCCATGGGATAACTGACAGTATCGAATCGATCATGACAATGTTGGTTACCAGTGTTTCTTCCAAGGAGACATATATTTTTAATAAACAGAGTTGCAAAGAACTCTTGTCTTTGAGACCTTCTTGTAGAGTCCTTCATTGTGTGCCAGATCTGCTTTCTTGGTGCTGATATGGTCTCTCCATGGAAAACTTGAGTGCTGACAGTGGTTTAAAAAAAATTAAACATTGCCTTTTTTAGTATAAGATGGTCTCTGAGAACTTGTTTAAAACAACATTAAAAAATATGAGGCAGAGGGCTTATTTACAGCCATAACTAGGCCTCTGAAAAACTCTGGGTTGGGTTGTTGTAACGCAGGTTGACTCTGATCTTGATGATTTGACACCATCAATATGTTTTGGGTCATGGCTTGAATTGTGGGGAGCTTGCTTTAAATGTAGAGTAAATAATATGCTGCTGTGTGCTTGTTCCTATGTTGGATATAAAGGCAGGCCAGCTAAGCTAGAGCATCTTTTTACAGGCTGACGGGCTGTTTAGATGCCAGAGAGAAGTTGTAAAGACAACTAGTATCTTTTTCTAGTACCTTTAAGTACAGAGAACAGGAGTGTTCAATGGAAGACAGATGTGGTTCATGAGGTATGGATTCCTCCCTGACTGTCATTTAGCAAAGTGAAAGGTGAGAGAATTTTAGGATTTAATATTTTTTTTCCATCTTTCCTTGGACCTGCGCTTTGTACCTGCTTTAGTGCAGCAGCCTCAGCAGAAAAGCACTCAGTGAACACAGCTCCCTGCTGTGATTCCTGCCTGGTTGTGCCACCACCTTTTGTCCCCCAGTCAGGACAGCAAGAGGTGCCATGGAGCACATCTGTGCTGCACTTCAGGAGATATCCCTCAGACAGCATTTTTCCAGACTTCTGACCCTGCTGCTGAGACTCACTTTCCACACTGAAGTTCAGGTGGGTGATCTCTCTTCCATCCAGCTCCAGCAGGATCCAGCCATTTACCAGGCTGTGTTTTTAATGTGGATCTGGGGGGATTTTGTGCTGAACTGTGACTAGTGTATTTCAGTTTGGAGTCTGGAAAGAGCAAGACCGAGTCAAAGCTTCAGCTTTTGCTGTGAGCTGAACTGTTCCTGCTCTTTTTTATTCCAGCTAAATTGTGAAACAGGCAAACGGCTCTGAATTCTTGTCCATACTGAAATGGACTGAAAACTAAACACTGATAAATATTTATGCAGCAAGGCAGCTATGACATCCAAAGGAGAGAGGCCTGGTCTTGGAAAACTTTTATTCTCATTGCCACTTACTACTAAAGTAGAGGTATTGAAACCAAACTGTTACCCAACAGCATGTCCTGACAAAGTATTTATTTCTAACTGTTACACAGCTCCAGAGGATGAAAATTATTTGCTAGAGAAAAACAATTACATCTATTCAATTAACTTTACCTAAAAAGTGCGTAACATAATTGCCAACAAGAAGGAGCTCCTTGTTTCTTCTCTGTAGTTCCCATGACCCTATGTCTTCACAGAGCTAATGGCCTCTCTCATGCAGCAGGTTTCCAAGAGACACTGCTGCCCTTGGTGCAGTTGTGGTTGTCATTCTTCTTCATTTGGAATAAACCCTTTTGCTCTGTCCAGTTTGTCCAGAACCTCACTATAAAGACGAATCATCTGGAGAATATAAGCAGGACAGTTGTCAGCAAGGATGGATAAAGTTGTATCATTCAGCTGATACAGGTAATACAGCAAAGCCCCAGGGGACAGAAGGAAATAGGTGGGTGTCACCAGCTTCTAAACCTAACATTTCTGATCAATGTAAAGATTTTGGCAGATTTTAAATACAATTATTTAAGGAAAAAAACCAAAAATGGTCACACTGATGTAACTAACAAAGGTGGGTTTTATTTATACTGACAAAAAGCACTTGCATCAGGGAATAGACCTGATCACAGAAGGGTTGAGGTTGGAAGGGAGTGATCTCAATTCTTACTGTCTTAACTGATGCACTTAAAATGGTATCAAAGTTGCAACCAGCTCTTGATTGCCCAGCTCCTGCATAAGGGAGTGACTGATGACTGCAGCCACCAGCCTGGCTGCTCTGTGCTGCAGTCAAGTCAAAAGCTGCAGAGAGCAGCTCACTTGTGTTCTACACAGATACTAGCCCTGCAATTCCTCCCTCACAGGAGGTGGCTCAGCCACACCTGACAACATGAGCTTTAATGATTTTATTCACATCAGCTTAACCCCTGTTTATAAGAGATTAGATTATACTAGAAATCAAGCTTGAAAATATTAATACAGCAGCTGGTTTAAGTAAACTGGTACAGCTCCTTGACCTCAGTGGGAGCAGGCAAGGCACATGGGTTCTCCTATGGCCACAGAGTCAGTTTATTTCCAGTCAGTCCTTTACAAGATCCTTTCAGTAAAAGGACACTACATCACTCTTTCTATTGTCTATCAAACTCTTCTGGCTTCACTTTGAAAAGATCTTTTAGCATCAAGCCGCCCCAGAACACTGAGGTACCATGTGTCTCCTGAAACTTTAAGATCACCTGCAGTGGTTCTTTCACCCAGATCCACATCTCAAATTCAGGCCAGACATTCCATCCCACATCCTCACATCCATCTGCTTACACTTACATGGCCTTCGTAGCTTTTCTTCAGAGATCCTAAGTGACCAAGGAAACGCATCCCTAGTCCACACCACTGCTCAGCTTCCTTGTATTTACCAACTGTGTACTGAAATATTCCTGTATTCCAGGCTCTTGTCATCAACCAAAGGACCTCCATCTCCGGGTAAGTATCCTGGTGGGGAAAACAAGCAGCAGGTCATCAGAAAATAGAC